CTAAATCTCCAATGCATGACCTTGTGCCCTATGTATAGTTCTGTTTGTGAATGGATTTCTACACAATGGTTTGTATCACCTGTACTAGATGGGCCGTTCTTTCGGCCATTAGAAGGAACAGCTTTCTCCAGCATAGCTACTCTTAAACTGACCTTAGTTTTGGGGTTATTCTCTAAAATGTCAGAATTCCAACCACATTGGCAATTCTTATATATACTAAAGCTAAATATTGTCAGAATTCACACTTCCCGTGAAAATCTGCAGTAATTGCTTGGATGCACTTGGTGTCCGAATTAAAATCAGTGCTTTTGTACAGGATTTAGAATAGTCACAATGCACTGGTTTTAATAATATTCCTTACCGATTTGTAAATTATCATTCTCTTTATCATTTTAAGTACTATTTGCCTGCTGGCAGTACTAGCAGCCAGGAAGCAAATTGCTAAAAAAAAAAAAAAAAAACCTTGGCAATTCGAAGGTTAATTATGTGTAAGCTGGCCAGCATATGTTAGCCAGCTGACACATTAAAAAAGTTAAATATAAATACATTAAAGGACTATGGAGATCAATAAGACCCCCATATTACTATAAGGGAGGTTTAAAACATGTGGCAAGTTGTGCATGTTTACTAAATGGTTACTAAATGGTTAAAATTAGCAACTGCAAAACCATTGCCCAGTCTTTAGAAGAAATAACAAAGGGGGACAAAGTCAAATGAAAATGTACCCTCCCATGGCCAGCAGGTGGGGGACTTATCTATTGCATTAAAGGTGAGGACCTAGAATTGAAAAGTGGGGACCGTAATTATAATATTCAGGAGAGACATAGTGTCCCACCCAGCCCCCACCCCCACCCCCACCCATGGGAGGTGGCTGTAATGAACTTTAATAATGGGGGATTGGACATATTATTATTTACCTCTTCCTATTAGTGGCATATCCACAATCCCTCCCCCACAAGGTACCCAATCCTGTAGTCACCCCCCATTAAAAATAGTGGACCCTAGTGTCGCCACCCCGATCCTAATAATAGGGTGTGGGGACCATATACTAATACCTGTTATACTCATACCTGTTTCTTCTTATTTATCTTTTCTTTAACCTAAAAAACACCAAATGAAAATCCATGAATCCTGATGCAATTAATGAAAAAAAAAATCACTATTTGCAAAAATTTCTTCGTGCCCATGGGGCCATTTCTTAAGCCTAGTTTTAAACTTCCCTTATAGTATTATAGTTGCTAGTTTTTCAAAATTCTTTTTTTTAATTTTTGTTATGAATTAAAGGTCAGTGCATATGTTTATAAGAAACAGAGAGAGAAGCCAGAAGGTTTGTAACAGTACAGTATTGGACAGGCTCTGCATGCGGGCACGCTCATGAACTGGCTTAGGACTGTGAGAGGATCATAACTTCACCAAGATAGTGTTAGGGGGTTCGTGTGTTGTGTGCCCCGTGTCTGGCTCGTATTTATGGTAGGCTCATTTCCTCAGACAAGTTGGCAGGAATGTTTTGCGATCTGTGGGTGGGTTTCCCCCTTTGAGGGTTCCTTATTTTTTCAGTCATGAGTATGTGGTCCCTAGTTGTCAGTGTCCGTCTAAGGTCACGTTGGTTCATGAGTCTAGACCGCAGTTGAGTCGCTCTTGGGTTGGGGGATTTGGTTGTCAATGCCTTGTCCTCTCTGGGGACATGTCCGATCGTGCTGTGGTGGTGGTTCTTAGTTTGGCCTTAGATCTTTAGTCCTTATATTCTATGTGTCTTGCCCGAAAGCCTGATAGAAAGGTGTAGTGGTGGTAAGAATATGCATTGTGGAGGTGAATGGGTCTTTACAGGTTATGAGAGTAGAAGTATGAGTATTGTTAGAAGGAAGGGTAGAGGAGTAGTTGAGTGAGGGGCGAGGATAGGGGATTTGCATTGTGTTGCGGGTTGGAGTGGGTGGTATTTGGTGTCTAGCGTAGGGGAGATTATAGTTGCTAGTTTTAAATCTGTGAATTGGAGTTATGAAAGGACTAGATAACTCTAACACCACAAATTTGAGGGGCAACCTCTGGGGAAATCTACTTAAGAACACAATAGGTGTAGATAAAATGAAACTTAACTTTTGATAGTAAAAATGATCTTGAAAATTTTAGATTGTAAGTCATCAATCATAATATTAAATCTATCTTCAACTTTCTTCAAATCTATCCTCTATCTCCTAAACTTAAATCCCTTTATTTCCAGGATGCAGATCACATAAAAAAAAAATGAAAAAAAGTCCTTTAGAACTAGGAAGAAATACATATTTATGAAATGGGACAGATCAGTGCCTGTATAGAGGAAAGCAACAAATAATAGATAAGATATAGGAACCCTAAGAAAGGGTATAGACTCCCTTCAAGGTACAAGATTAAAAAAAAAAAAGCAAAGTTGCCTTAATTTAAAGAGATCATTATTCAAGTAAATCTGGCTTATAAATTATATTGTCTGAGATTGAGACCCTCAAAGCATTTAGGGTTTTAGATACAATCAGATTAATTGGATTAATTCACTAGCCAATGATAAACCAATGCCTTCTAATTAGTCAATACAATCTAGGAGCGAAGGAGGAACTTTGCAATATGTTAATCCCAATGATTCTATCTCACTCCTTGCCTCTAAAATAGCCGGCATGGTTGAAGGACAATGGACGAGTTATAAAATACATTAAGCCACCTGGGAGGGCTTTAGAAACACTAGAGAGTGCGATCACATGATCAGAAAGCTACTTATTGGTGAGTATGGCTTTATAACCAAGGGCGGCTGATTGGGGGCTGTGTGTTATGAAATAAACACATCAAAAGGGCAAAACAATGTGTATAGAATGAATATTTGAAAAGTCTCTCATCAAATAGATATTAGTTGCGCTGTGTTATTAAAAACAATGAACTCTATAAACTTCAATCTGAAGACTATTAAAGATTCTACAGCTTATATAGGTTTGTTCGATAAATCTTTCTTATTCATCTCTATAGCCCCTTTTGGCAGAGGGAAACACCTCCCTTAGACTTATCCCATTTGTTACTAGATTTAACCACTTCTTGTCAGTCATAAGCTATTTCATTAATAGCTAACTCCCATGGGTTTTTATTCCCTCACTTGCTCGCTATGATTTTCTACGTATATAAATGTTATCAATGGATAATGCTAGAAATATGTTATCAATGAACCTCTTCCTGTGCTGCAAATAAGGGCTATTGTTGTATTTGTTAATGCTCTAGTAATGTGGGCATGCTTAATCAAATTAAATTACTTTAATGGAAATTGTATTACAAATAAAAGATTATTAATATTATAGTTTCTTTGTGTATCATTTTACATACATATAAGTAAATACCTCAAAATCACATTCTAAGTTGGTTTCAGCAATTCAGATTTTTTTCACAAATAGGAAGTCTCTCTCTTGTTGCTCCCTGGAGAAAGGTGAGCCATGTCCATGTTGGTGATAATATGGATGATATACGTTTACTGAGCAGTTACACTGTCTGACACCGCCAGACAACTGAAATCCGAGCCTCAATGCTTCAAACCTAGGCCCGATAGCAGCCACCAGACAAATAGTTAAAAACCCTCGGCAGGGTTAATTATGTGGCGGCTGGCCAAAGCTTGCTACCAGTCAACATATTAACCAAGTTTAACCCCTTAAGGACTGGACTGTTTTTGCGATGTTGTACATTTGCGACCAGGCATATTTTTACACTTTTGTGGTGTTTGTGTTTGGCTGTAATTTTCCGCTTTCTCATTTACTGTTCCCATACAAACTATATATTGTTTTTTTCAGGACAAAAGGGGCTTTCTTTACATACCATTATTTATATAATCTCATGTATTTTAATTTAAAAAAAATATGATGAAAAATTGAAAAAAATACATGTTTTTTGACTTTTACTTGAAAAATCTTTTACTCATCTACAAAAGCGAATGAAAAAAACTGCTAAATAGATTCAAAATTTTGTCCTGAGTTTAAAAATACCTAGTGTTTACGTGCTTTTTTGCTTTTTTTGCATGTTATAGGGCTATAGGTACAAGTAGGATATTGCGGTTTCAAAACATACATTTTTAAATTTATCAATAGTGACATTGTAACACTATTATCTGTCATAAATCTCTGAATAACACCCCACATGTACATATTTTTTTTAAAGTAGACAACCCAGGGTATTCAATATGGGGTATGTCCAGTCTTTTTTAGTAGCCACTTAGTCGAAAACACTGGCCAAAGTAAGCATTCATATTTGTTTGTGTGTGAAAAAAGTAAAAAAACTAAATTGAACGCTAATTTTGGCCAGTGTTTGTGACCAAGTGGTTACTAAAAAAGACTGGACATACCCCATTTGCAATACCTTGGGTTGTCTTCTTTTGCAAATGGTATGCCATCATGGGGGTAATTCTCATTCCTGGGCTACCATACGCTCTCAAAGGCAACGTAACCAACCTGGCCATTTTCAATATAAAAATATTTGACCCATATATTTGACCTTGTAACTTTCAAAAATGCTATAAAACCTGTACATGGGGGGTACTGTTTTACTCGGGAGACATCGCTGAACACAAATATTAGTGTTTAAAAACTGGAAAACGTATCACAACAATTAGATCATCAGTAAAAGTGCTGTTTGTGTGTGAAAAATGCAAAAAAAGTAACTTTCACTGACAATATCATCACTGTGATATGTTTTACTGTTTTGAATCACTAATATTTGTGTTCAGCGAAGTCTCCCGAGTAAAACAGTACCCCCCATGTACAGGTTTTAGGGTGTTGTAGAACGTTACAGGGTAAAATACAGTGCTAGCAAATTAAATTCTCTGGAATTTCGGCCTGGGTTGGCAGGCAGGTCCCTCAAATTGCAATCAATAAAATTACTGAATTATGTAAAAATATGACATAAATACGCACGTAGAATTTAAATATATATGCATATTTATATATTTGAAGTCTACGTGTATATTTATATAATTATTTATGTAATTTTGTATATGGACATATGTATATTTCGTATTTTTATTTATTTATATATACATAGATATATATACAAATTCATTCTAAGTGTATTTTGATATAAATATATTAATTTTAAAATACAGTTAGAATAAAATTTCATATAGATATATAATTTTGTTTTAATTTTTATTATTATTTAAAAAAAATATTTAATTTAAATTACTAATTATTTATATTTTATAATAATATATATATATATACAATATATATAGTTATTATATATATTATATATATACGTGTGTAATTTAATTATAAGTGAATTTTTATATTAATATATGTAAGTACATATTAATATAAAAATACACTTAGTATGGCATTATATATATGATATATAGGCATATATTATATAAATATAATATATGCCTATATATCATATATACACATATATAATTTTTTTTTTTTTTTTATTAACACTAACTTTATTTTTTATTTTTTATTTTTTTACACTAGCAGGGAGACTGCCTGTCAGCACAGACAGTCCCCCTGCAGGCAGACACTAGGACACCTATTGTGACCATGTGATCACTGTGTTAAGCAATCACATGACCACAGGAGTCCTAATTCAGTGTGGGGAGACTGTCTGGGCTGCAGGCAGTCTCCCCACACTGGGAGCCACGCTGATCGCCGCCTGGGGAACGACGGCGATCAGGTAAGTAACTAAGACCGTTAGGACGGTTCAGGACCGTCATCGGTCGGCAAGGCAAAAATGCCGATGACGGTCCTGAACCGTCCTCGGTCGTGAAGGGGTTAAAAAAAAAAGTGACCTTCATATTACCATAAAGGAGATTTTAACTCTCTCAAAGCCCTCATCTGCCATGCAAGGCCCAATCCCCTATCCCCACATATACACCTCACTATAATAATAATTGAAGGGGCATCAAACTCTTGGGGGGGGGGGGCGGGAAACTGATCGCAAAAAAGTTAAGAATAAATAAACGTAGAAGCCAACCAATCAGAGCACTTTGGATACTGCATAGAGTGAAAAATGTCCCACTCTAACCAATATCAATTAAAGCACTTTGATTGGTTAGTTTACAAGCCAACCTATCTGAGTGCTCTCAATGAAAATTGAAAGTGTGGAAAAGTCTGGCTGCAACATTCATTATAGACTGGGAGTGTGTATGGCCAATGAGAAACCGATTTCAGTAGTTGAGATTGGAAATTATTGTGACATGGATGAGCACATTAGCTGCTTAGCACCATTTGATCTTTAGTAGGGGCGGATGTGAGCTATGATTTTAAAATGGACACAACATGATTTTCTGATTGACTGAATATGAAGGATGAAGGAGAATCTAGAATCAAAGAAATGCCAAGGCAGTGAGCCTGTGAGGTAGAGCTGATGGTAGAGCCATTGACTTTGAGGGAGATAGACACAAGGTTAGTAGTGTGTGATGGTGGAAAGCTAAGAGTTCTATTTTGAGGAGACAGAGTTTAAGTGCAGTTATGCAGTTAAAAATAGCAGAGGCAGCTGGAGACACAAGTCAAGATGAATAGAGAAAGATCAGGAGACGACAAGTGAATGTTATATTGGACGCAAAAAAAAATCAACCAATGTCAAAAGCATCAGAAATGTCAAACATCATTAGAAGGGAGCAGGGACCCCAGGATATGGCAGGAGTTAAGTCAATTTGGTCAAACTGTTTTAAACAGAGAAATGAGTGTAGAAACCAAGCTAAAGCAGGTCAAGTAGAAGATTAGATTCAAGGAAATGACAATGAAGAAGAATTAAAAACAAAAAAAAAGCAGTTTTTATTTTAAGAAATGGCTGATAGTCCATAAAATAGCTGACAGCAGGACAGAAGAAGATTCAGGATTCCATGTTATTATGCGTATACAAAGGGAATCCGCTCTAGACGTATGCAGGAGCAAAATTTTAATTCATCAGAAATATTTTGGGAGAAAAAAAAACTGGTTTGACAGAATTTAGTTGATGCGGCCAAATTTCAGTAACAGAAAACATTCAGGAAGGCCGTGTTGACAGCCAGAAGAGCAGCACAAAAGGGGACTATGACTGTGGTGACTTGTAAAAATGGCTACAATATTGCTAGGTCTAATGGCTATACAATATTAGCCATTTTTGTTGTGACAATTCTGAGTTGTTGTCAGGATTACTAGCTGATCCAGCACATAGTATTGTGTCACACAGATGACTAATAGGTAACGTATTACCGGGCCTTAGAATGGCCAGACTAACGTACCAAAGGATAGTCCCAATACTAGCCGAGGTCAGGGGATACAGAAAGGGACACAACGATAAGGGAAAGCCAGAAGTAAGGGATACCAGAATACAGGGAAGTCAAAATCAAAGCCAAAGTCAAAAACCAGAAGAAACTTGAATCAGGAACGCGCTCTCGGACAACCACTAGGGAAACCACGACAGGGCAATGAGGAAAGGTAATTTTAGGTTTTTATACCTGCTTTACCTTTCTGATTGACCGGGATTGCTCTTTAACCCCAAAACGTACGCGTGCGGCACGTGCGTGACGTCAGGTGTTCGCCAATGTCGTTAATCACGTGAGCGGACGTGGGGTATAATTAGCCGTGGATACGCAGCGGCCAGCCGCCATTAACATGCCGCAAGTGTTAGTCATGCAGATGCACGGCCGCTGACCGCAAGGTGAGGATGAATATGTTACATTACCCCCCGCCTGAAGACCACCCACCGTGCGGGCAGGACCAGGCTTAAGAGGAAATTTAGCCTGAAAATAGCGAATCTTGCGGCCAGCATGTATATCAGAGGCCGGGACCCAAGAACGGTCGACCGATCCATAACCCTTCCAATTTACTAAGTACTGCAAGGCGCCCCGAGAAAACCTGGAATCAATTATGGAGGAGACCTCATACTCCTCCTGTCCAGAAACAGCCAAGTGAGGAGGGGGAACACTTGGGACAGTATATTTATTGCAAATAAGAGGTTTGAGTAAAGAGACATGAAAAGTATTAGGAATCCGTAAGGAGGCCGGAAGGGCCAGAGAATAAGAAACAGGATTGATTCTCTGAAGAACACGAAATGGACCAAGGAACCTAAGAGCAAACTTCATGCTAGGGACTTTGAGCATGATGTTGTGCAAAGATAACCAAACCCTCTCACCCACTTGGTAAACAGGGTTGGCACCTCGCCGTTTGTCAGTATAATGCTTGAAACAGTAAGCAGCAGTCCCGAGGGCGGAGTGAACTTTGACCCAGGTCTCATGAATTGAAGCAAGACGACCGATAGGACTAGTCGTGTCAGAAAAAAACAGCCGGAAGGACAGTAGGATCCTGGCTATTATTTACAAAAAACGGGCTAT